CAGTACTGTAATTTAAACTGGCGAATACTGAAAAATTGAACTTGGGGAATTTCTTGGTTATTCAGGAGCGTTGGTCGTCCGCCAAAGAATGGGCGAAATCACAAGAAACGCGAGGCTGCCGGAGACTGGCAATGGTGCCCACCAGCAGCCAAGAAACCCGGCGGCACTGGTGAACCCCGCAACCCGAAAACTTCCCCGGGCATCAACAACAACAAGAACAACAAGCGCCGTGTTGGCAGACCCCCGACGAAACTCAGCGACTTCTTGGTGGAAGTGGATCCTGCGAATGCTGTTGCATTTGCGGCATTGCCTTTTGCAGTTCCACTCGGACTCAGTGATGATATTCTCGTCGAGTCCTATTTCGAGGACGAAGTGGTTAGTTTTTCATTTTTTTTTTATTTGTGTCGTCCACCTCGTTCGAAGACCATTTGTTCCACTGGGCATGAATGGTCTCGAGAACTGTAATTTTAAGATGTGTCGCGGAGAATTTGAAAAATGATGCCTATTAAATGTAATGTAGGCAAAGGTTAGATTTAGTTGCGATTTCTTTCGAATTTCAAAACAGCTGCATGGTAGAGTTGCGAAATTTAATGTGCGGTTATTGAGACCTGCTCTTGTGTGTTAAAATGTGAACATTCCTTGGCTTGACTTATTTCTCATCGCTGCTTTAAAATAAATTACAGTACGACAAAGCAAGTATCGAAGCTATCGAATTTTGCCGTTTTGAAGAGGGAAGTATTTTCATCTAACGAGCAATTGTGAATGACTTTCCTTAAATGTTTGCCTTGCGCTGTTCTAATGTGCACTTTTGTTATTTTTTTATAATTGTTTTTTCATCGCGCTGTTCAATTCGCGATTCCGGAGAAAGGTTTTTTCGCAGAATTCCTTGCCCGAAAGTGCGATTTCAGTTGCGAAAGGGGGACTGAAGTGCTATTTAAATACTGTACAGTATTTCAATTCTGCTGTAAGACTCGTGTCATCATAAAACGCAGTTGAGGTTTGTCAGGAAGAGTCTTGAGGAATTCCGAAAGAATTTCAAGTAATGTTTTCGACTTCGAATGGCTCTTTTTTTTAGCGAGCCTTTTGCATTTGGAAATTTGAAAAGACGTCGTAATTTAAAGAAGAAATGTTGTAATCCACCAAGGATTTTTTCCGGATTTTTCTTTTATCGCTTGCTGAATGAAAGCGGGTTTCGTGCTACTCACTGAAACGAAATTCCAGTGAAATCTCGTTACAACAAAGCATTTCGGACCAGGAAAATACCTTCGTTGTGACGAGAAATTCGTACTCATGACACGATTTGATAAACATTATCGCCATTGGGCGGGGACCTGAAGAACAACTTCGCCGTGACCAGTAATTCTTTCTGACGAGATTCTACTGTGACAAGATTCTAATGTTTTTTTTTTTTAATCTTCTGTACGCTTCTTATTGTACTGAATTTTTACTGTTTGAAAAAGCTACCTCTACGCTGAGAGAGTTTCTTTCACCCCACTTGACCAAATGCCCCTGTTGCCCTGCGATTCAAAACAGTAAAATGTCGTTACAACAAATTTTTTCGTTCAAGTATAACAAACTTTTTCTCAAGTCCGGACAGCAAACCTTTACAGTACTTTTTGAAACAATCTTGTTATTAAAAACTTCATTCCTCTATAACAAGCTTTTTTGAGCGAACAATAATTTTAAAAATCTGAGAATTCGATACAAGTATGATCCAATTGATTGAAGGCAGGTCTGAACTGGAAAGTCATTAATTTTAAAATCTTGTAAAAAAAATGGTTCAGTGTAACAAACATTTTCTGAAGTCCCCAAAAGTGCGTTGTAGTAAAATTTTACTGTACCCCCTTTTATGAATTGTACGGTGTGTAGTAGGAATACAAACTATGAATGTGTTTGCATGTGGAAACGTGTTTAAAGCGCAGAACTTGGTACTGCTGTACTGTACAGTATATTGAAATGTTTCGATTCGTCCTTTTTCAGGAGGAACGCATTCCAACTCCACCTCCGCTCATGCGACGATCGCCGGACCGTCAGTCCTCGACTTGCACTTCCTCTTCCACTTCCTCCTCCTCCTCGTCGTCGTGGGTGCGGATGAACGGAGTTCCGGGGCTCATACGGAAAGACCGATGTTTTCCGGCCTTGGGAAGCCACGAGTTCCCGCGTCAGGTGCTGGAGGATAATGCGGAATCCTCGACGGAGAAGCAGATGCCGATGTTGGAGCATCGGTTGATGTACGGTTCCGAGTCCTCGTCATTGACAAAGACGAAGACGACGGCGGCGATGATGATGATGAGGATGATGAAGCAGGGTGCCGCCGTGGAGACGCCGTCCGATTTGCGATTAGGCGGCAGTAATTCCTCGCCTGCTGTCAGTGATTCCAAGACTGCGATTCAGACTTGCAACGGGTCGCTTGAGCGCTCCATCAACATGCTCAAGTGCTCTGAACGCGTAAGGCTTTTTTTTTTAATTTTTATATGCAGTACAGTATTTATCGTTTATTTTTCTTTTTTTTTTCAAGTCGACGATTGCAAGGTTGCTTTGCCGTTTCGTGTGCTTTACGTTTATTTAAAGAAAAACATGAATAGTACCGTATTTTTTTGTGCTTATCCTTGGAGCTTTATTTGTCGTTATTATGCGCTTGTCTCGTCCGAAGATCGCAAAGGCATCGAGTTCGGTATTTACTCATGAGACTTCAATGAACAGTATAACTTTAGGTTTACTTAATATGCAGTTTAACTTTGATAACTCGAACCTCTGCATTCGGAAAAACAATGCATTGAAAGCCTCCCTGACTCGAAAATGATGCCATTCAAGCCTCTGTAAATCTTATTTTCTCGAGGCCTTTTTGGCTATTATTTTATCGACACAGGCAAGAGAAACGCAATAGAAATGTAACTTGACGTGTTTTGATTGGACAAATGAACCCTTGCCTCCAAGTTCAGCATTTTGTCAACTCGTTTAAAAAAGCAATTTGAGGCCAAGAATATCTCCAATTTAAATTTCTTCTAATTCATTTTTTTCTTTCCCCTGGACAAAAATAATCGCTTTTCTAACTCAAACCCTCAAGTTGAATGTTTTTGCTGGTCCCTTAACTTGAAGAGGTTTGACTGTAATTAGTTTTCAAGGATAATTATTCAGTTTTTGCGTTTGACTAAATTTGGTTTGTTTTTGGATTACTATCTTTTGAATGGTGATATGGTTGATCACGTTCGCTTTCATCAGATCAGGTTTCTTGGTCTTTAAGAAAGACGCATTCACTTGTTCAAATATATAAAATGTATGCCTTTATTGTTCCATTCCATATATTGTATGTATTTTGGAAAACGTTACACCTATTTCGTGTACGTAAAAAAGTATGGTTTGTTTTATATACTGTATAAGGTTATTTGGTGTTGCCTTAATTTAGACTGGATGTGTTAGATTCTGTCAAGTGCGAAATTGAAAGAAAAGCTTTGAAAAGGCTTGGAAGGAACGGCATCTGTGACGATAGAGGTAGTTTTGTTCTCGGTGAAGTCAGCATGAATGAGATCGTGACTCGAACACGGAGATAATTTTTAAAGTTTCTGTGTGACCGTTCGTATTTTTTCGGAACAAAATGGGAAGATTAAAAGTTGCTCTTATTCAAATTCAGTATCCCTCGGTTTTTTTTACAGCTATCAAACTGGGATTTCGAAAAGACGTCCCCGACGTCAGCCATTCACGAGGGCTTGAACAAGTCTGTGGGAAAGCTGCGACCAACAGCACCGCGTTTCGTTCGGATGACGGAAGACACTTCTGACGAGAAGACTCCTTTGGAACCGGACAGTGGTGTAACATCCGATGCTTCAAATAACGATGATGAGGACTTATTTGTTGACCAGTCTGAGAATTCAGTGCCCATAGTCGCAGTAGAGGAGATTGAGCCGATGGATGCGATGGAACGCGAAATCGTGTCGCACTTCAACGCGCTCATCGAGTTCTTCGAGACCAAAGTGTGTGACTCGCAGCGTTGAGAGGGATTTTTTCTTCGAAAGCTGAGAAAAGTGTTTCCCTTATTCAACCCGTTTTTCTTTGTCTTTTTGCGCTTTCTATGAGTCGAACAGCACGTGCTGCTGGAAATTTTGAAGTCAGGATTGATCGGGCATCGTGTTAATCGTTCAAGGTACCTCACTTGACTCGTCATGTTCTTTCCCCCCGATGACTCGTTCGTGGGTTTTTTTGTGTAGTACGAGATGCCAACAGGCTTTCGGGTCGCGGCTGTGATGAAAATCCTCTTTGAATTGATACAAATTGCTGGAGAAATGTTGGTGATTTGAATTGGGAATTAAGTGGTCATTGCGAAGACTTGAGAATTACCGCGGTTTCCAAAGGCATGATGGAGCGAGTGTTGCGATCTGCAAGTATAGAATCGTGTTTGGTTTGCGTCGATTACAGAGGATGTGTGATGAATTTCTTGGATTTTTTGGAAGGGAGTCAACAATTGTTCCTGAATGTTTTTTCCTCCCACAAATTCCCCAAAAGTTATTGAATTGCGGTTTGTTCGAGGGGTTTTTCTCATCCCTTTGCTTTTGAATATCGCATGGAAGACAAGTTTTTCGCGTTCCGTTTGCACGTACTGTATTTCGTCTTGTATAATTGGAAAAGTTGCTACAGGGCTTACTGGAGCGTAAGCTTTATTGGATGATTATTTTTCGGCTGTCCTGATATAGATGTAGGCTTTTTTTTTTTTCATCATCACATTGATGTTTCACAATGATTTATACGCGATGAAATGCAGAACGTCGAGTCAAATTTGTCATCATCATTACAATCAACATTCATTTTGCAAGGAGAACCGAGAAATGCAAGTCAATCTGTGACGCTCGGCATCATTAAAAAAATGTTCAATCTAAAAACGGAGACAAAATATTTTGTTTGCCTTATCGTCAAGTTGGAAGGATACGCTTTCAGGAACTTCGTTCTTTCAGTGGCGTCATCTAGCCGAGGAGGACGAAGTACTGGAGCGTTATTCGTCCCGCACTTCAATAATTTACTGGCAACCCTAAAAATACATTAAGCGGGGGTAATTTTGCAAGAAATGAGAACTTACTGATGAAAAATATTATATAATGTACTGTATCTCACGAATTCATCCCGAGCTGATGCCTCTTCCTTCGGTAATTAGAATAAGTTAAGAACCCCTACCTATGTATCAAGGAGGATTGCAATGGCATATGATGTTGATTGCGCGACATCTGTGTGGACATTAACAATACAATTGGGGCCAATTCTGTAAATGCGAAATCTTTCTACGTTGTTTTGTATAGGATCATCCCTAGATGTCGTTTGTCGGAGTATGTGGTGCCCGCATTGCCGACGCATTGGCAACCCCCGCAACTCCAAAAGTAGAATGCCGGAAATCGTTTACTGCACCAAAACGACACCGACTGGATTATGTTTGATCACTGCGCTCGCTCAGCGTGCGTTGATATAAATCTCAATTGCACCTAATTCCAAAAATATTGAAAGATTTGTGAACATGAGAGGAAATGTTGGAAATTGTTGTTGTTTTTATAGGAATACATTAAGTATGTACGAATTTGTACCGGGACCAACGGGAGCCAGGTTCTCACCGGGCTGCAGAAACCGCGTAGTGTTACGCGAAGCTTCGCGCGGACCAGTCTTACTGTTGAGCTGAGCGTCGGGCTCTTCGAAGCTTGCAGGGGGAATGCGACCGCCGGGTGTATACGATCGATTCTGACGCATTGAATCCCTCATGTGATAGCTGCAAAATATTATTGCATCGGGAAACAACTACTGATTGTTTATATATCGTGGTGATTAAATTGTTTCCGCAACGGTCTCTGATTTGTTGCTCGGTATGAATCTTTCATAAGATTCTAATTGGAGTGGGTTAAGTTGCAGCAATGCTTCGATAGCAATGTGTTATGAAAACAAGGTGCCATTTTGTGTGTTTTTGTCTTAATGCGGAACGAAGGCATCTCACAGTTCTACGCTACTTCCGCGAACATTGCTGAACAACAGTAGATGTTTCACATGGTCTTGACGAATCGTTGAAAGGTTTCTGTGCCACCTCGATTTTCGGTTGACTTTGTGCGTCGGGCGATTCTTGGGCATCGAAAGGAAGTGATCTAGTATTTGCTTAACCCTGCGGATTTTGTGATTTGCCATGTCCGTCGCGGACAAGCTAAGGAATAGTCTCCGGCTGACTGAGGAGCAGCTCGAAGAACTCTACGAACAGTTTACAACGGTGAGTGAATCCCAAGATTTTTATTCCCGGGATATGTGTAAATCCTTCCGTGAAGGAGTATTCCTTGAATGCTTCCGTCTCCGGGAAAGCTGACCGACTCAAACAGCGTTCGTTGAAATCTTCTGACTTGAATGTCTAGATAACGAGAGCTTCTATATGCTATCCAAAAAAGTCAATGGGCAGAGTAATCAAGGATTAATCTACTCCAGGCTGAACTTCTCCGTCTGTCTTCAAGTGCTGTTACTACTGTCTCCATGAAGAAAAGTAGATTTTAATTTTTTGGATGAGGGAATTTGTTGCAATCCCGCAGTGGATCATTGGGTGGAATGTTGGTGCATGAACTGAGTAGGAAAGGATGAGTCAGTCGTGGTTGCTCAATAGTCTTCCGATTTCGGTGCTTCCGCGAACGATTCAATGCAAATATTCGGTGCTTCGCTTTATTGTCAAGCAGTGTTCTCGTTTCCACTGCTTGGAATCCTTTCCACAACGGAATTCAATTTGGTTTCGTTGAACTGGACGCATTTTAGAACAATAATTTTCAATTTTTTGTTGATCGGGTAATTTTCGGTTCAATCCCCGTGAGTACCGAGTATGGGTTCAACTTTAATAAAATATTATTGCCGTATTTGCGCGACTGAAGGCCATTGTGAGAGTTTCAGCTTCATCACTATTTCTATAAAATCTTTACAGTATTTCACCACTAAATGAAGGAAATGGTTGAGAAAAATGAGGCCCATTCATGAACACAAGTGAGATTTAATTCTGGTCTGGGAACCTCACACTGACCGGTTCTCACACATATGAAGATTATTTCGCTGCAGAATTTACTATTGTGCGATAACTGAAAAAGTTGTTTTCTTATTATATTTCATTTTGTATGGGTATCCTTTTTAAAATCCGCCTGCAGAAATCGGATGCATGATTTTGAATATAGGCCTCATTCATTAATTTATCATCACCTAATCAACAATACGCTTAGCATAAGTAACTTTTGAGTACATTTTCTAAGTAAATGCGTCCTATGTAGTCGATTGGATTGGGTATTTCAGTGACTTTTGCACTTCGAGTGGTAATGGGAAAATTCTTGACGCCTTTCAGCAAAATTTTCTTTGTATGCAGCCCCCCACGGTAGATTTTATTAAAAAAAAAAAAATTAGGTGATGCTCTCGAAAATTTTCAGGTTTTCCTATTCCGATTTTATTCTCGCGAATGATATTGCTTTAAATGCTGGTTAATTTGCAATTGCTGGAGGGTGGACGAACAATCAAGCACCATCTGGGAAGAATCCTCCTTTAATTTTTTTCTTGCTCAAACTGAGTAATTTAAGTTTGCTGTACTAGTACCGCTGACATATCAAGAAGATACGCATAGCATTTATCTGTGTAAATGCGGATCAAGCTGAAACTAGATTGAAAAAAATTGCGATGGATTGTTTCGAACAATGAAACTTGAAAATCGGAGCACAGGATTGGATGGTACAAGCAAACCTCTTGAATTCGACTTTCAAGGGACTATAAAAAAATCAAAGAATCATTAATGGGTTAAAGCATCATTGAAAAATCAGAATAGGGAAGTTGAAAGTATGAAGGATCAACTGTAGTTTTTTTAAGTGAGTGTTCTCAAGTCGAGATCAAGGACACCGGAGAACAAAAGATGGCTGTGCTCGCGTGGCCATCAAAAAGGGGGTGCGTAAAAACTTGACTTGAAATTGGTACAATTCCGCGGAAAGTACTTTTTTTTTCTTCTTCTTCCTTGAAAAAGGCAAGATTTTCATAGTGTACAGTACGATACTGAGTTTGTTGATGGGACGATTGCTACGTCATAGAGTGCATTCCTTGCGTCTGTCGGCCAGGAAAAAACGTTGCGGAGCCGGCGTGAGTCCGGCATTTATTCTTTCCATTCCTCTCCGCCGACCTTTTTTTTTTTTCTTCTCTCGATTCCTCCCCAGGGGCGGCCAGTGCAAGTTTTTATTCCACATTATTATTTTTTTCTCTGGTCTTCTTATTCGTTTCCGTGTATTTTTTCTGTCCTTCCCCCTCCCCTTCTTCGACAGGAAGAGAGAGAGAGAGAGCGAGCAAGTCGGAGAGAGGGAGAGAGAGAAAGCATGCAGGGAAATGAGGAAGACACAGTCAAAATGGGGGGGAAAGCGGGACAGGGAAGCTTGGAGATGGCTCCCCAGGTTTTGCCTCAGTTTCCTCGCCCCCTTTGCGTTATGCATGAAGCCAGAGTTTTGTTCCTGTTCACGGTGTACTGTACTGTATAGTCGAGTTACTTTCCCTTTTTTCGGATGCGTGTGTGTGTATGTGTGTAACTTGACCTGAGGAACGGGTTCCTTCCTTTCTTTCCTTCTTCACCACCACCCGGGGGTCCGTGAAACTTTTCGTTTGTTGCCTGATTGAATGACTGACTGACTGACACTGAATGGAGATATGCCTGAACTGCCTCTTCAAGTGTGTAGGGAAGTACAGTGGCACCCGACATATATATAATTGGGGATTCGTGTCTCGAGATGCAGACACTTTTCCTACATTTCTAGACAGACGGAAACATTTTATTTTTTCAAAATTTGGATTTCTCGTGAACGAATTGTGCTGTTGATAGTGTATTCACAAAAATTAAAAAAATATGTATATTTAATTATAAATTTTCTCAACTTCATATCCGAAAACAGGCTAATTTTGTATAGGATTTTAATGCATTGCTTCTGAGGGAATTCAGGCGGGGACTTGAACATATTTTACTAGGGAGGTACAGTATTTGACTCATGGAAGTTCGACTTGGCAAGGTTCAACTGTGTGCTAAATTCTCAATGAGGAATTTTCCGTTAAAACGAAGCTATTTTTTCTGGTCGCATTGACTTCGTTGTCATGAATCGGAATTTCTTTCTACACCGATTGTCTCCAGAAAATGAGGCAGGTTTGCTACACCGGTATACATCTCATCTCTCTCTCTCTTTTCTCTTAAGTCGAGGGTAATCCTCTTTATTCCTAATCTGGTCTTGGTTGCGAGTTTGCTCTGGTCGATAAAGCGACCAAGCTCGTCCTGAACCGCGTCGTTTGTTCTACCATCACGCTGATTATTTCTGTAGCTGGCCCAAATGTTCTCCTTGTGTCTGAACATCTGCAGTTTCATGATTTCCTGTACAGTAATTTAAATTTCAATATAGGTGTTCGTCACACGAGAAGGCGTATGTGTTCGAGAGCAGGAACTTTTCGGGAGGTGGGGGACTGTCGCCTGCCTTGTGATTGTGGGTTGATCTGAAAATGTCTGGTCGAGATAAGCCAGGGTTGAAAAGATACATACTACGCGTGGATTAATGTCTTCTTTTTGCGACGCATTTTTCCCCCTGGAGTGAATTTCGAAAATTAATTTTGAACGCAGAACGGAAATTAGTTCGTGCCTCCGCAGCTTTCATTTATTTATTTTTTATAAATATTATTCTGTATATTCGTGAGGAGGAATCGCATGGGACTTTTATTTTTTCCTGATGCTGATGATGCATTAATTTGCCCCCATCATGTTCAGGAATAAATTGACTGAT